ACACAGGGTGTGTGTATGTGGGGGGGGGGGGGGCATCACAAGCACATCATCATCATCATCATCATCATCATCATCATCATCATCATCATCATCATCATCATCATCATCACAGCCTCTGACCGTGGCGCTGAAGAGGCCGTGGGCGAAGAACAGCTCGTTGTCCGGGTCGCGCGGCTTGGTGGAGATGCGCAGGTCGAAGAAGCGCACTCCGGCCTCCAGCTGGCTGGTGAAGTTCATGGTCTGCGTGGCGAGCCACTTCCTCATCAGCTTCTTGGCCACCGTGCCGAAGACCGACACGAAGTTCTGCACCGTCTCCGGCTGCTCGGGGCCCACGGGGGACGACTCGTCGATGTAGAAGCTGAAGGAGTCGTGGGAACCTGCGTGGATGTAGGGGGGGGGGGGGGGGGGGGTAGTTATTACGCTGTCATTTCATCATCATGCTGCTATGGTGATTATCGCCATGGTGTCGCTTGGGGATGGATGGAGAAGAAGAGGCGGCGGTTTGGGAGCGGTTGGACTCCCGGCCCGAAAATGTTCTGCGGTCCTGACCCGACCTGCTCATTATTAATGACACAGCTATGTAACAGAGTTGCTTGGGATAAAAGTGTTTTATAGTTTAATAGTAAGTACTACTGGGGATGAAGGAATGTTATTGATATCAATGACAATCATGATGACTGATAATCAATTAATGATGATTGATTCCTTTGTATCACAGAAAGGGTTTCATCTGTAATAAAATACAATACTCTCTATATATACTATATGAATGCACTCATAGATAGATAGATAGATAGATAGATACGAACTTTATTGATCCCCGAAGGGAAATCAATAAAGTTTGCATCTATCTAGCCTGATCATGTGATGAGGCTTTGAACTTCAACCAGGAAAGACAAAGCGATCGCACCAACCTCGAATTAAAACCCGTTTCCTCTGTTCTCAACACAAAAAACAACAACAACAACCCTAAACTTTCTTTCTACCAGACAAGACACAGGACTTGTGCTGCTGGACCATAAATGCACCTTTATAGGTCCTTCTTGGAGAGAGTTTCCTTGGCCATGACAAAAAAAAGCGATGTCATCATCAACCACCACCACCAATTTGATGTGATATTATATTTTTTTCAGAGCGGGTCACAGCTCCAGCATCACCTCTCGGCGGTGACGGTGGTCTTCAGCACCGGAGACGTGGCTAACCCGCAGAAAAAACACCTTGTTTGAGCCGTCCCGCGGTTCTGACACGGGGCGCTTAAAAGCATTTTCCGCCATCAGCTCCGGCGCCGTCTTGTTTCATGAGGTCCTCGGTGTGTTTTAGAGGTGCCACTTTCTGGGAGAGTTGATTTCGAAGAACATTTTCTTTTACTGCGTTTATGCGGCGCTGTGCAGATGATGATGACAAAGTAAAACTTTCAAAGTACGGTCGGTGACTTGACAGGAATTTGTCCTGGTAGTTGAAAATGAAAATAACCAGCGACTCAATGCCGGCTCTGACGAAACATTTGCTTCATTGTCTTTATTTCTTTGTCTTTATTTCCTTTTGATGTGTTACTGTAATGTATTCCTTTTAGTTGTGCTTTGACACTCTCTGATGGCTGTTTTTTTTTTCTCCCTTCAGCTGCAGGCGAATTGCCTCCCAAATACCCGTCGCAAGGCTGTAAATTCCCAGGTGTCACTATAGCAACAACCTCTCAAACTAGCTGACATGTTATGATGACATAACCCAAATCGTCGTGAGAAGGAAAAAGGTTGGTTTCCAGTTAACAGGAAATTAAACAAACTAGAAATGGCCCGTTGTCAACGTCTTGATTCACACTTCTTTTTATGAATATAGTTTATTATAGTTTTAGTTTGAAATGGAAAACGTGTTATACACAATCTGATGGCAAACCCTGTGTGTCCAGACATGGAGTCACAGCACAGATATGTGAGGAGCATTGCAAGAATGAAACCCACAGTGGTGTGGTGCTCATGTGGTGCAGAAGGGACTACAGATTAATATGGTGCCTCTGTCTCACCCCCCCTCACCCCCATCTCTTCCTCCCTCCCTCCCTCCCTCCCTCCCTCCTTCCCTCCCTCCCTCCCTCCCTCCCTCCCTCCCTCCCTCTCTCTCACTGTTCTCAATAATAAGACATAATGACTGCCACTCCTCTCCTGGTCATTACACACAGGAAGAGACACGTCAGCAACCACACACACACACACACACACATATATACTGTATATACATATATAAATCTAAACATATATAAGTATAAACATATAAAAAAGGTATATTTGGTGGACACCACAATTATCCAAAATCATCCACGCCTCCGTCCTTCCAGATGCATTACCCAACAGTATGGCAGTTTACTTTATATAGTTTGGTTTGTTGTGTCATGTCTATGCGTTATACTGTTTGTTTTGACCTGATGTACTGTCAGTAACTTCCACCAGCCTCGGTTGTGTGGTCATTATCTCATTAAACTCCTCACTGCATACACTCTTTGCATGAGTGGTCCCAGTGGTGGGAATCGAACCCCTAACCCCATCAGCGGTGATGTCATGCTCTACCGATTGAGCTGAAAGGACCAACTTCATGCAGAAGCTGGACTCTTCATATGGTGGTCCCAAAGAGATGGCTCTGATATTCCTTATATTAAAACAAGGTTAGCACCTTATATCATATCATCATGAGGTCAATTACACTCTGCAAGAGGCCAAGCCTCTTATTATCAGAGCAATTACTTAAATACGGTCGACCCTGGTGACCTGAAAAAGTCAGAATGACTTCTAACAAATAATAAATTAGCATTTGCCATATTGTTAATGAGGTGACACCAGTGTACTTCCATGGACTACAGACTAAGCATTATCCACTGACTAACTATACAAAAAAATATATATACAAAAAAAAAAAAAAATGTTTTAAAGATTTATTCTACAGTAAGTGTATATTGTGTCATGACAGCCATGTGTGGCTGTCATGACACAATATGATGTGCTGATGTGATGTTGACTCAATCTGTGAGATGGCAATCTGTGAGTGAATATTTACAGGAGCTAAGCTGCTAATCTGAAACCTTTGTGTGAACCCAACACTGGCTTATCGTTTAGTGGGGCTTCAATCAAGTAAAGACCAACAGGCTGCTGGGAAAAAGGATAGGAAGCTGTTGCAGTTGAATTTGTTAATACATCAAAAATAAATTTGCAATTCACAACATATTTATTGCCTCCATGTATCCAACATCCAAATAAATGTCAACCCAAATTGTACATATATATATATATATATATAGTAGATAGTAAATAAAGATTTTACTGTCGTTTTTGTTGTTTAACAACTGTCAGCCACGACTGAAAATAATTCTCCATCTATGTTATAAAATACGATGTGCAGACGGAAAACTCAAAAGCTAACACCGCTAGTCAGAGCAGTACAATCATCCACAATATGAAAGTGCCCTGAAAAAAAACAACCCACAAACATAATCTTCCCTGCATAATACAACGGCAGCCATTCTAATTGAATTAATCACGTCGTAAGTATGGCAAGGGAAATGAAGTTTGTCTGTGTGCATTTGTTTCTCTATGGTTTCTCCCTGTGTCGCAATTAAATGTCAGAAGAAGGTCACTGAAACTGTCAGTGTGTCTGTCTTTATTATATTATATATTTATGTCTTTATTGCTTCTACATTAGGAATATGGGTGTTAGCGCTATACAAGATGCTATGAGACACATTTTCCAATATGAAACTCAATATTGTGTGGGGGGGATTGTGGTTATTCTAATATTCAGTCATTAAGCCTAATTGCTAATCTTTTCATTGTATCAAGGGTATTGTTAATCCAATCCTGCTTTTTTTTTCCAGAACTAATTGGACTGTTGTTGCAGGGCACATTAAAAAAACGCTCATCTTCCCGCCTCTATCATCCTACATCAAATTATCCTTCAAATTGTACACAGAAAACTAAAAGGGATTTGTAACTGCCGAAATATCATCAACTATGTAATGTAATGTAATGGTGATACAGATTTAGGACCAAAAATATGGGATCGATATTTTGTCAGTAGTATATGGGGTCCATCTAATTCTGCCTGGTCACGGCTCCCACAGCACAGACAACGTGTCAGTCTCAATAAGGACAGGATATTTCTGTGTTTCCACCATGTATGTATGGACTCCAAAGCGGGTATGTGAGTAGAGAGACCGCGGCGGTGCGCCGGGCCTTTCGCTGTCCTGTCACGCTGTGCCCAGCGAAGGACGCCGTTATTTTTTTTACTCAACAGGTAAATGGGTTTGACAGGCGGCGACGCTGAGAGCGGCAAGCAACCGCTGGTTCATGAACACCGTTCATTACGCCGCCAAACACAATCACGCTCCATCTTTAACGCGCTCACACAACACTACAGAGAGAGAGAGAGAGAGAGAGAGGGAGGAAGTGGTAAAGTAGAGGTCAAAACAGTGGAACAAGATGATGTCAGGAAGTAAGCAGCAGAATGAAGAAGAGGGGAAGGAGACAAAAAGGCGTTGACAAAAATAAACGAATGTCAAATAGATTTTGGGAGGCGAGGGGGAGGGAGGGAGAGACACACAATGGCCTCAGATACCCTATCACCTCCTCTCCCCTCCCTCCCCCCTCTCCTCTCCCCCCTCCCTCTCCCCAGGTGACTGTACACATGGACGTTAATTGCACACGTCTGTCTTGGTATCTTTCTCCTTGCGACTCCTTCTGGCATCCTGTTACCTATTTGGTCCTAAAAAAAACCCCACCCCTCTGTTCCCTCTCTCTCTCCCCCTTCACTCCCTCTCTCTCTCTCTCCCTCTCTCTCTGTTCTCCCTTCTCTCCATCAATCAATCGGCTGGCCCGTCTTGCCTCCCCTGTTGTTATCGTGGCAGAGCGCGGCGAGCAGCAAATGTCTGGGGGGGGGGGGGGGGGGGGACTGCTGCTGGGGTTTTTTTTCCCGATGACGGAGAACTATTTGACACTTTTTTTTCCAGAACAAGATAAATGTCCTCCTGCTGGAAACTCAATTAACCGCCAGTGGTGAAACCAGACCCGCTGAGAATCCATACCAAAAAACTCCGGCGCTCCTTTTGGACCACAGATGTCAAATTAACTCGCCGAATGCATTGCAGCATTACAGGCTGTCTCGCAGGTACACAGAGTATAAGGTCCTGCGTTGACGCCGAACTAAATGGACGCCGCTGAACCGAAAAGAAATGGTCGCAAGTTGCAAATGGACGCCGAACTGAAAAGAAATGGTTGCAGGTCGCAGTGTGCCGCCATGTTTCAGTCCCGTGTTTCTTCATGCAAGTTACTATGAAAGATGTTTTGTCTGCAAACAAAGCAGGTGTAGCAGCAGGGATGTCTCTTTGTATATTCAATTGCCAGCTAGTTAAATATATGTGAGATATCTCCTTGCTATGTAGGGATCCAAGCATTCCCAATAGTACACTAATAACCCCATGAATTATCACCACAGCCCGGTTGTGTAGGTTTAGCGGCATCCCAATGGCTCAATTGATTTATAGCCGAACAAACTTAATGCATTTCACATCTTTTGTCTTTTTGAAAAATCATTGCTCCTATAGGGAAGGATCCAGTCTGAATCACCAACCCTTGCTTGGTGTCACTGATCGAATGTCATTAAGTCAGACTTCACAAAACAGTAGCTGAGGGTCGGGGATAAAGGCCACCTTTGGTTACAATGATCGTCGCTATAGCTTAGTTTACATGACCTTTTTTTATCACCTCCTTTCAAAGGTTGACTTCCCCTTTCAAAAGGTTGACTATTTTTGCCATACACTCATAAAAGTTTCACTCAAAACTTTGCATCATTTCCCCTTTTCCATCTTCATATCTGTCTGTCTATCCATTCCTCTATCCGCCCGTCTATCTCTCTGTGTATTTCTCTCTGTGTCCCTCTGCCTTTAAGGCTGTTTCTATTTGCAGGGTTAGCTCAGGAGGAGTCTGGAGGGACTGTTTATCATCCTTGTAAGGGGGCTTGTTAGGGGGCTTCAGTAGCAGTGGACCAGCTCCAGCCGAAGCGCTGGATGGACAGATTTACGGTTGAAATCTCCCAGCAGGTTGGTTTTTTTTGTTGCCCCAAGGGAACCTGGGTTTGTTTCTGTTGCGCCTTGTAGGTCAGCTTAAATTAATGTAATTTGCTTTAGCCTCATTCCCTGGCCTAAGTCATGTTGTTCATTATCTAGCCTTCGGTGAAGTCTTGAGGTGATTAGTGATTTTTTTTTGCTAAGCATCACAAAGCCTTCAGGAGCTTATTAACTTTCACAAGTCATCAGTCTCACTAAAGACTTAACATGCAAATGTGTGTGTGTAGTGTTGGAAACCAGCATCATCCCTTTAATAGTGTTTGCAATTTGGTGAACCAATTTAGCAAATATTTGAGTGGTTTTAACAACATTCGTATTCGTTGTATAGGAATGTTGAAGCACACAAGTCCCGAAATACCAGCACATATTTCTGGCTCTGTCAGTGGGATACAGAAATACACTGAGCAACCTCCCTGGTCCGTGTTCGTGACAGGAGGAGACGGCAGAGCCGTGGGGAAGCAGGATTATCTATCACAGCCTACCTGTGCTGACCATCATCTTCATGTGGCTGCTGCTGTATCCCGACCACAACCGCGGCTAAATCAATGCGCTCCAACGCCACAATCTCTACAATCTCTCACCACCAACGTCCCAATCTCAACCACCACCTTTATCGCAGCCATCTCTTCCACCACAACCACCACCTCCTCCTCCTCCTCCACCACCACCTCCTCCTCTTCCTCCTCCACCACCACCACCACCACCACCAAAGCTATCTCCCCCACCTCCTACAACACCACCATCACCACAACTGACACCCCCAACACCACCTCGACCCCCTTTCTCTCCCTCCCTCATAATAGGATTTGGGCACCTATTGTATGTTTGCACATCCTGGCAATTAATAGCACTTAGCATGTTAGCCTAGCTATCCATGCTGTGTACCAGAAAGGATGGTGGCTAAACCGTTAGCGGTTATGACGCACCTAGAAACTTGCTCTGTTGAAATCCTTGCTGCACCGACGGTGATATAGTGTTGTTTTACTTTCTTTCTATCGACTAATGCACTAATTGTAAGTCGCGTTGGACAAAAGCGTCTGCTTACTGACCTAAATGTAAATGTAAGGGCTGCAAGGGTTATGCAAATCAGCAGCTATGCTAATCAACAAAACCAACACATCTTATGAAAAGGACATTTTGTATTGTACATTCATTACTGTAATACCGGTACCATTTGGAGCTGTATTGTTTTAATTCGACAAGCGTACATTTTGTACGTAACGTGTTGTGATGGAAAGCCGCGTGTCCGCTGATATGTTTACTGAGGACACAGGAACCACTTCAGAGGAACAGCATGGAGCCAACCAGACACATGAAGGAGTTAACTCACAGCCATGAGGACACATAGAGACATATTATGTCTCTGGTCCTCCTTGTATGGATTTCAACTGTATTATAAACCATGCTGATGATACACCTATTATTATTATTATTATTATTATTATGACTATTATTAATATTATTATTATCATCA